AAGGTAAAACACTGAGGGAGAGCATCAATCATTAAACTGTCCTGTGTGTGTTTGTACTGCAGTGTAACGAGACTACAGGCAAAGCCAACGTGCACCTAGTTCCAGCTTAGTTTAGCATGTTTAACATTTTCTAGTTAGCAATGAACGCAACGTACAGGAAAATCATTGTTGTGCAGGTATTTCAGCAGAAACCAAAGCAGTGGACAAATATTTTTTTTAACCGATTCATCCTGGGGGGACATAAATTGTTGTACCAAGTTTCATGGCAATCCATCCAATAGTTATTAACATATTTCACTCGAAACCACAAATGTCAATCTCATCTTTGCGCTACAGGAAATGACAGCGGATCACCAAATCAATAGCGTGTATCCTCTTGGGACCATGAATGCGTGTACAAAATGTCACGGTAATCCATTCAATAGTTGTTTTAGATAGATATTACAGTCTGGACCAATGACATTGCCATCCCCAGAGTCATGCTTGCTGGCTTGGCTAAAAAAGCTCTCAGCTCTCAGAATGTACAATATGCAGAAAGACAGAGACTTGAATGTCTCAACCTCGAGCCCTTTCCCCCAGAACAGCAGCGTCTCCGAGGCAGGGGACTCTGAGACAGACAACCCAGCGTTCACTGACACTTGCCACTCTGCCAGCTGGCAGCCTCAGTATACAGCTGTGCCAGAGACACTGCGCACACACACACACACGAATACACACAGTACACAATGATAAACAGGAAAACACACACTGGTGCTAAGCAAAAGAACACCAAAGAGTATATTCAGGCACAGACTATTAATCTCTTGAGGTGATGCCTGGTGTTGCTATTTATGGTTCTACAGAACAGAACAATGTTACAGCGTGTACCACTTCAGAAACAGCAAAAGCTCTAACTCAGTGTATCCCCACCCAGCTGGAAAGCACAACTCAGCAGTGGTGTGCTTTCCTCATAGTTCGGGGGGGGGGGGGGGGGGGGGGGGGGCTGAAATTCCTGGCATTGGTGCCATGCTTTACCTACTGAGCCTCTATTCATCTATTCAGGGTTTTGGGGCCTTTCTTTGCGTACGGAAGGTCAAAAGGTGCAGCGTGCCAACAACACTGCATGAGACAGCAGTGCAATTCCCTGTTAGGATGAACGGGCAGGGCATGACAATGATTAGTAGGTTGATCATTGCCTGTGCAGCTCAAAGGGTGCTGAATTACCGGAGCAACAAAAAAAAAAAATTAAAAAAAAAATGACTCATGCGTTCAGTCCTTAAAAGCAAAACAGCCTCCTGCAGAATGTAGACACTGCCTCATGGCTGATATGTGCATGTGATGTAGGTGAGGGGCAGCAGCGTGCACGGGGAGGGTTGTGCATGTGTGGATGCCTTTGTTTGGCCGTGCATGCTGCAGTGGAGCTGAAGGCTGCCTGTAGGGCCGGCTAGCAGTGAGGGAGAGCTACATGCATGATCATTAACCTGCTGTCACACATGCTTACAGCACCCACTTTTCTCAGTCATCAGGTCACAAAAACGTGCAAGAGGGAGCATGAAAACTAACTAAACAATGATTATGTACTTACAGGATTTACAAAGTGTTAGGTATTCAGCCATGACTGTATAGTTGGTGGTGAGTTTGCAGACGACCCTGACTGACATGCCACAGCTGCTTTCATTGTGTGACCTACATGCAGAGCCGGGGTCAGCGGGATTTCTGACCAGGGACCGACCGACCTACCTCAGCTGTTCTCCGGTGACGAGCACCTCGGCCAGCCGCTCCAGCTCTGCAGCCTTCTTCTGCATGGTGTTCCCGATGCAGTCCATCTCTCTGCTAACATAAGAGGCACAATCCCAGGGTGGGTTTTTTTTGTTAATGCCAAACAAACACATAAAGATTTCTCTCACCCAGATCTGTAAATGAGTTTAAAAAAAAAAATGTGTTAGGCAAAGTGTGCACCCGTATCTTTCCAGCTGACACACACACAGAAAGGGGAACGAATTGATTGAAAAGCCATCCACGCGGTGGTGATTTCAAAAAATAGACTGACAGACACCTCGGTTTTCGCTTACCCTTCAAGCAACATTGAGACAGAAAAGAGGAGTCTTTTGATAATTCCTTTGATGAATGAGGAGGGAAATTATTCCATCCCAGGAAACATGCAACAATGCAGTCACTCACAGCCCAGCCCCTCAGTTTGTCGGCATCTCCATTAGTCCACTTTTAATTCCTCGAAAACCTCCAACGTCTCCAAATATCTGCACGCGCACATTAATGCATGCGTGCATGCCGCGTTCCCTTCACGAATGCCTCAAACGCTACTTATCTGGTGTTTTTTTCGACGCACCGCTCGTGAAAAACCGCCGAGTGCTTTCTCTCAGCGTTTGGGTCGGTTTGTTTGTCAGTGATGTGTGCACGTTTTTTCGCCACGGCGCAGCCAGCACCCATCCACAAACCCCCCCCCCCGCATTGGGAGGTATCTGATGACGTCACTGGGGGCGGGGTTACAGAGGCACGCGAGTGCGCTCGATTCATACACCGCCTGGTCCTGGTAAGATGTATAGGGGTGGCGTGGGTTGGACATTGGATGTAGTTTTAGTTTGCACGCCTTTGTACTTTACATGCGGTTTTATTTTGTAAATCACGGACCATGCTGTGTAATATGTGACCAGTTTAGAATCAGAATTTTTTTTTTCTCCTTCCTCTTCATCTTGAGTGATTTTGATGGTTAGGTCTGATTTATTTTGCCAAACAGCTGAAATGTGAAAAGGATCCTTCTGAGCGGCTTTATATTCAGCCTACACCAAGTGCGCCAGAAAGCTGAATTTTGAATATTCAACCACCGTTTCCCAGGAGGATCAGCAGAATCAGTTTGTGTTCCTGGAGATATCCGTGAGAGTTAACCTGCCTGAAAGTTATCTCCTTCCAAAATACCAATATTTTCTCCAGTTCTATACCCAATAATCAAATAAGATGGAAATAAAACTATCACTACAACATTTTAAAAATACAAAGTGAGAGTGTGCAACATCCTGCAACAAAATTCACAAAAACAAAAGCATGCTATAGCCACATATCAACAACTCAATTTAATTTATATCACAACTGCATGGAATTCTTGACCCAACCATAATTTTTTACAGCTGATTGTATCTCTTAATCCCTTTTACAGTTATGATTTAAAAAGTGTTCATCATGTTTTAGTATAAATCCCATATCATCATTATTACTATCATCATTGAAATGTCCTGAATCCATTTTTTGTCATTTGTTTTCCTTTTAATTGTGTAACAATCGAAAAGAGGAGATTTTGATTAAAAAATATATACATGAATGAATGAAGTTACTGGCTTGCTATTTACAACATGTGCAGTTTCTGTGTCTGTATGATCTGTATCTGAGGTGAACATAAAACCAACGCTTCCGATGAAGTCATCTGGCTGCTGATTGGCTACACTGGTAAGAGTGTCTGTGTGCGTGCGTGTACGTGTGTGCGCGCGCGTGTGTGTGTGTGTGTGTGTGTGTATTCTACAAAGTTTGCTAATGCTCTCATGTTTGACAGTGTATAAACAGAATCAGAATCAGCTTTATTGGCCATCAATTTGACTCCGGTTTTCACATTGCTCTCAACATACATACATGGAATACACAAATAAACAAGAAAAATATTTTAAAAAACAAGCACAATAAAGACAACAAAGTAGAACAGAGGAACTATGCACAAACATTTAACTGCTATGTACAATATAAATATATATATAACCTACATATACAGCATATACGACCACATAACCTGCTGTATATGTTTGACTTGAGAAGCAAAGTGCCAAAAACAAAACCCACAGCGGACAACTTGAAAACAAAATCAAAAATTGTCTTGATCTGTTCTCATTTTCACTAGTGCATGTAACAGACATGACTCTACATAGCATCATACCATCATCTTCTTTTGTGGTGCATTCAAATATCCTGCTGATCACTGTATCTCCTGTTTCTATTGGTTTTGAGGTCCTTTTCATTCATTGTTTCAATCAGTCTGTCAGGGTATCATTACAGAAAAGGTCGCATGATCCCTTTGCATCTAAAAGTTTACAGGCTGGCTCTTCTTATAAATGTCTCATCATTAGTCATATCATATTCTGCTGCTGTGACTTAACTCCTAGATATTTTATTGCAGCATTACTCCCTGTATGACGGTCATGAATGATCTAAACATACACATTAGCTAATTTACTTGTTGACACCACAGTGACTGTTAAGTCTCCAATGGACAACGTGGTCGGACCGCGAAATCTGTTGGCTAATAATGGTATTACGGGCAACGATGGTCTGTTGTGTTACATTTTCTGTTTATCAGTCGTGAGAACGCGACTTGAATAATTATGGAACTAACATTGTGACTTTGTTATCTCGATATTTAATTACATCATGTGACACAGTGCTTCTCCATCCGGGCCAGTGGCGCAATGGATAACGCGTCTGACTACGGATCAGAAGATTCTAGGTTCGACTCCTGGCTGGCTCGCTCTTTTCCCTTTTCTTCTCGGGTTTTCTCACATCGTAAATCTTGACGGTGTAGCGTATTAGTCTGCATAAGGTACCAAAAATAACCTGAAATACCCCCTGAGATCATAGTTTCGAATCCCGCGTGTGCTTTCTGACTCATTGTGATCATCTAGAAATATGCATATCAGCAACTAAATTAACATAGAAATGTTAAGTAGGCTATGTTAAAGCATTGGTGGATAGTTGATTATATTTTGCATTATGAATCTGAATCTTCAAAGAACCTAAATATATTTTAAAATGTAGTGGAGTAAAAAGTACAATATTTGCCTATGAGATGAAGTGGACTAGAATTACAAAGTAGCACAAAATGTAAAGTAAAGAACAAGTACCCCCCTCAAAATTGTATTTATCTAAAATAGTTTGAGTTCAGATAATCCTCTCTTGGGTAGATATTAAAAGCTATAGGCCTACATTTATTTGAGTGAAGTGGTTGTAACAACTACAGTAAATAATAATATTAATAACTCACCTGAATGTCTGCACGCGAAACACATCAAACTTGATTTCAAAGAAACCCAGCAGGTGTTTTCTGCTTGATGAATCTCGAATTCATTTCTATTGACAATAGCTGCAAAGGATTGACTTACTTTCGCCATGCCGGTATGAAAAATAAATCGCTGTTCGTCCACCGCACATTCCCGTCAGCTGGAAGACGTCCATTGGTCAATTCTTGGTTAATTCTTGGTTGCAATACGAGCGCTGATTGGTTCTTGGTTGATTTGTGGTTACAGACGGAAAGGTGATTGGCCACAATGAAGGTGCAGATAAACGCAAATGTCAGGACGTTAGTTCAGAATACAGACCGCACAGTGGCATCCTGAGCTGTCCTTCAGCACGGTGGACACACTTTGGTGTTACCTTCACAGGTGCCACTGAAGACCAGTGATTCTCCTCCACTGGATAATTACTTTTCCATCCCCTGCTGCTCTGGATGCCATGAAAGCTGCAAGTCAAGCTCACCCGTCCACATCCAGAGTGTCACATAGAATTTATGACCTCATCATTGTTATTATGTAACAGAAAACGAGTTCGGACGTTTCTGTGTCCTTATTTCTTATTTTTTTGTTAATAATGTTGCATTTTATTTCATTACTTTTTATTGACATTTAGTTTATTTATGCCTAAAGTCATTTATGTTACACGTCATTGTTATTATCATCATTGTTGTTCTAATTATATATTAAACAATAGAAAATGGACGTTTCTGTGTTGATGTCTTCATCATCTTCTTCCTATTTCTTATTATTATTTGTATTAATGTTATTATTTAGTTATTACAAGCACTTCACTCAAATGTATAGCTTTTAATATCTACCCAAGAGAGGGTTATCTGAACTCAAGCTATGTGGATAAATAATAATCCTATTTGTCACATTCTTTGTTTGCTTCCTCATCACATAAGGTCCTTAGTTTGTGTCTGCGGGCTTTTCAAACAGTGGTGGACAGTAACTAAGTACATTTACTCAAGTACTGTACTTAAGTACAATTTTGAAGTACTTGATCTTTACTTGTGTATTTGCATTTCTATGCTACTTTATACTTCTAGTCCAATTCACCTCAGAGGCAAATATTGTACTTTTTACTCCACTACATTTTTTGATATCTTTAGTTACTTTGAAGATTCAGAATAATAATACGAAATATAATTAACTTAAGTTTCCACCAATGCTTTAACACAGGCTACTTAACATTTATATGTTATTTTAGTTGCTGACAAACACATTTCTAGATGATCACAAAGAGTTAGAAAGAACTGGATTCAATACCACGAGCTCAGGAGGTATTTCAGGTTATTCTTGGTATCTTACGTAGACTATTGCACTACTTCTTCAATGCTGGCAAGAAGACAATCGATGCCCCATGTGTGAGAGCCAATCGTGTTGCCATCGCTACCAAGAATGTCCAAGATTTATCCAATTACCAAACACTGCGAGAATGGTGCCAGAAGCCTCAATGGATATCACGTCTGACTGTGGATCGGAAGATTGCAAGTTCGACTCCTGAATGAGTCCATCATTTTTTGAACAAATGGATATCGATGAAGTCGCCTAGTTTCAGAGCCGTATATCACATACTCTTCATCTATATTGTTATTTGAGATTTACAATTAAGAAGAAAAGAAAGAAAAGAGGAAAATCTGCAGACAAGCAAGCAACAAACAAGCAACATGGGTGGTCCATGTTCCCCAGTTTATGTGTACATACTTGAACATATGTTTGCTATCAGGCAAATTCTGCAGGTTGAGAACTTTGTTTTTGCCCTCAATCTGCAGTGCAGGAACCACAGTCAGCATGCCTTTTTTCAATGCACCCTTTTATGTAAAAAAAAAAAAAAAAAAAAGATACAAATTGAAATTGAGGTTTATCCTATTGCAATGCATTTATTAAATATTTTCTTGACAACACTCATATACTGTATGTTATGTTCTGTTGCTCTTATGTTAATCTACAGGAACTCAAATGACCGGCGAGGTTTTAGTTAGTAAACTGAAGACATGAATAGAATTTAGATGGCAAAGGTAGGCAATCAAAAACTGTAATTCCCACTGCAAATCAAATTAGTATTTTAAGGGGTTTTGCACGAGTCAAAATGAAACAAAAGTAAATGAATATAGCGCTACAATATCTTTTTAAATATAGGTTTGCAAACGTAACAAAATACATCGATCAAGCCTAAAACCAACCTCTTCAGAGGTGAATCAAAAACTCACAAACCGATCTTTAAGTGCTGAGAACAGACTGCGTTTGACAGATAATGGCTGTTGATTGAGAACATTTGAACCTGGCTCTCTGAAGCACTCTCGCTCGACTTAACAAAGAAGAATGTTTTATATGACAGTGAAATGGTCGGCCCTAAGCACACAGAGGCATTGCAACCTGTGGGATAATGGCATTGTTTAATATTTCTATGGAATGGTCACGCTAAAGAGTTATCATTTGATATGATCATACAGGACACACAGCCACAATGACGGCTCATGTGTGCAGGTCAACAAATAGAAGCCTTTGACAGAGTGTTTGTGCAGCCTTGAGAAGAAAAGAGTAACTTTCTGTAACTCTGGTTAAAAATTGGAAAATTGTTGTAGTTGTTGTTACACTAATCATTTTCATCATGATGCTCAACGCCAATCTGTTACTTTTTTGTATATTCATCTTGTATAAATACACACCAGCTGTTATTATTGCATGAACTTTATCATGATTGAATCATTATTTTCCCACAGCATAGCTAATAAGCCAGCAGAAGCAGATCACTTATGGTTTGAATTGGATTGAATATGAAGTTGACCTCCAGATATTTACACAGACAATGCAATTGATATTTACATAAAAAAAAAAAAAATAAAAAAAAACTATGGCCACACAAAGTCCATATGCAGCGGGTATAACGCCACGCCTCCCTGTATTCAAAGTAGGGCTTTGGTGAATTACAATCCTTCATTATTAGGTGAAACTTCATTAACATTCCTGTGAAAATACACATCAAACCAGAGTATGATCGGATGCATTGCATTAATCAATCCTTTACAACAAGAATTGCACACGTCGACTTCCTGCGGTCAGTCACGCTTTGGCAGTTCCTCCACACATCCACCAGGTGTCTCCCTCCACCCGCTGCAGTGTCAGTAGGAGGTGGCTGCAGCAACCGGAGAGGAGCAGCCAGGCTCCATGTGCTTCAGGTGGCAGGAGTGGCAGAGAAGGTGGCCGTTCAGAGGGTAGCAGCGGTGACCCTCCTCGTCGTTCAGCTCCATCTTACAGTCCTGATCAGCACAGAGGAGGAACAAGGGTTAGACACACCCGCTGACAGCCTACAAGAGCTTCAGCAGAAGAATGGAGGATAATTGCTCTTGTATCTGCTCTGCATTGACCTCATTTTACAGCACTGACAGATTGGACAGCAATAATTACCGCGATAGTGTGCAAGGACAGCTTTTAGAACAGATTAATTTCTACATTTACGAAATGATTTAAACTCATCATATTAGCAAATCTCAAATATGTGCATACCGGGGAAAAAAAAGAATCTCTGGTCAATAAAGGATTCTTTTATATATGCTGTATTTAATCAGGAAGTCACATTGAGTTTAAGATCTCACTTACAAGTGAGACCTGAGCTCAGAGATATTTATAAATTAATAAATAAAATGATAATGACATAGATGCATAGCAATTATATAGCAAAGATATAATTATACATGCATACATACATCAGCGTGAACAATGATAAATAAATGTTTTCTGAAATATCCTTGGCAAAGGTAATAAAATACAAGAAGATTAACATAAAATCAACAGAACTTATTCTCATAAATCATTCTCTGCCGTTTCAAGAAAGAAATGTTCACAAAGACATAATTCTAATGTCAAGATGCTCCTCTTTGAACAGCTTGAACGATTAAGAAAAAAACAGGGTGCTGCTCCTCACAGCCCACTGATTTTTATTCTCAGCTGTCAATCAGCCTTTGGCACAAAAAAAAAAAAAGAAGAGGCACTTGAGTGAAATGATGAGATAGGGATGATGAGGCGTTGCATACCTGCTCTCCTCAGCAGTATGTCATTACCGCCAAGACTGTAATTAAGATCAGGGATCTACTCATTATGATATCTCTTAATGAGCCATTCAGAGGGTCCTGGCTCAGAGCCACGTAACACACGCAAAGCTTCAGAGAAATGTGACATTTTGTTTCCTTCAACCCACCTCACAGTGATAGCATTCCACATGATAGTCTTTGTCCATGGATACAACTCGGATGGTTTCATCAGACCCCTGGAATGAAAGTCAGACAAATGCAAATGAAGCCAATCTTTGCCAGAAGAAGACACTCGTTTCGGACACCGATGTAAGCCAAGAGCTGGATTGTCTGTACGTTTAAATTATGAATCATACTGGCATACAAGAATATAGTCACACCGAGCCAAAGACCGTGGCAAATCATTTATAAATAGGTACAAAGACCCTGTATCTGTACATTTAATGTGTGTGTGTGCTCTTTGTCCTGAAGACAGGAGGTATTTCTCTTTCAGTCATCTTTCTCTGATTACAATATCAGCCTGAGAGGGAACTCCCCTGAACATCCGTAACAACAGCTTACATAAAAGCACAGAGACAAAGCCCCCCACCCCAAAACACACACACACACACACACACACACACACACACACACACACACTACCTCTCCTCTAAATACCGGCCTCACTGCTCACTCAAAGGGGAGGGCCGGGGACATTCCAGCAAAGCCAACTCTAATTTTGGACATTTCTTTGCTTTTGCCAGCACGTCCTGCCTGCGTGTGAACTGTACTTCTCCTGACTATCAATCTGCTCCTCCTTGACACCGCATCAAATCAAAGCCCAGAAATATCAGGCCTCACATTGTTTGACCTGTAGTCCAGAGGGAAATATGGCTATATTGAACTACATGCTACTTACGCAGCTTAGTTCTGTGTTTGGGT